TATTAGTTTTGAATGGGATTTTAATATTGTTTATCAATATTGGATTTATATGGAGCCCATATTGGTTTTAATATTGACACTTTAAAGGCATTAATGTGAAAAAAATGTATCAAACTATTAATTACGATCGAGCATATGACCTTTTAAAAGCTTTAATCGTGTTTTTGGTGCTAATTAATTATTTAAAGTTAATTTTTTTTCGTAACCCATATAAAGATCACATATTTCCCAAGTTCAATAATACAAATACAAATACAAATACAACAAATTTGGTGGTTCAGAAAAAAATGCATTACCCCCACATTTAAAATTTATATTGAATTTATAAGAAAAATGTATCAAACTATTAATTGCAATCGAGCATATGACTTTTTAAAAGCTTTAATCATGATTTTGGTGCTAATTAATTATTTAAAGTTAATTTTTTTCGTAACCCTTATAAAGACCACATATTTCCCAAGTTCGATAATACTGAAGAAACGAATCGTGGTTGCACAGAAAAAATGCATAACCCACACATTTAAACTTTACACTGATTTTATAAGAAAAATGTATCATACTATTAATTGCGATCGAGCATATGACTTTTTAAAAGCTTTAATCATGATTTTGGTGCTAATTAATTATTTAAAGTTAATTTTTTTCGTAACCCTTATAAAGACCACATATTTCCCAAGTTCGATAATACTGAAGAAACGAATCGTGGTTGCCCAGAAAAAAAATGCATAACCCCCACATTTAAATAATTAAAAATAATAAAATTTATATTGAATTTATAAGAAAAATGTATCAAACTATTAATTGCGATCGAGCATATGACTTTTTAAAAGCTTTAATCATGATTTTGGTGCTAATTAATTATTTAAAGTTAATGTTTTTCGTGACCCTTATAAATACCATGTATTTCCCAAGTTCGATAATACTGAAGAAACGAATCTTGGTCAGCCACAAAAAACTTGGATTTCGCCCTCATTTAAAAATTATGTATAATTCGTGTAAATATAAAATTAGAGGAGTAAATCAGATGGGAAACATGTTTTTTATTTGTAATAAACCATATAAAACAGTACGCTCATGAATTTTCCAAATTCTCCATAATTTTGAAAACAAATATTGTCCGATCCATCTAAAGACAAGATTCGAATTTTGCACCACGAACTTTCAGCCCTTTAGCCACGATACATTACCACTAGGGTTCTTACAAAAGAGTAGTTCAAACCCAATTATTAGGGTTAAAAATTTAAAAAAACATATACCGTAATTATGTTACAGTATTTTGTAGTCATTAACAAACTTATTAACACCAGAAACACCGCCGAACTTAAGCACAGTTGAAAATTGAAGATAAAACTATTTCAAGTCTACTTCTCGTAATTGCGGGATAACTCACGGAATTACGTTCACTGGTTCAGTTATGTGAACGTAATTACGGGTGTCATAAAATTGACAATTCCTTGACAAATTTATGCTTGATTTAACTGTAAAACTAATCTCTTATTATTACTGATCCAAAATTTCACAAATTTGAATCGATTAAGCAGCTCGGAATCGAATAAAAACCTTAAGGGGGTTGTTCTTTTTTTTGTTACAAAAAATGCAACGTATTTATTTTTGTTTTTCTCGAAATGTATTGATCATAGAGACATGCGGTTTTTTTTAAACAAAAATTACAAAATCATAAAATATTCAGATTTTTTTTTTATCGCCGTCATTTGTTAACCAGGGGGCGCCAAAGTGGGCATTGCAAAATCGATCTCTTTTGCGGTGCCACAGATAAATCCATTGCGCATCGCCTGAAACAAAAAAAAACGAAACTACGTTGAAGAAGAAGTTTGAATCCAGTCCCCCTACCAAAATAAAAGAAAAAAAGCAAGAAGGAAATAAATGGCAGCTATTTTAAAAAAAAAGTGTTAAAAAGGGCTTTTTTTTGGGACGAGAAGCTTCGCAAAATTTTTTTGCGTAATGTTATCAAGATGTTTGAGGTAGGGGGCTAGGTATTGCAGCGGTGAACAAATTAAAAAAAATGCAAGTCGATCCGACTTGTAGTTTTTTTTTTAATTTGTGGCACCGCATTGAAAAAAGTCAATTTGAGAAAAACGTATTTAAAGTTTTTAATATAATGTACTAAATACACCATTTAATTTAATAAAAAAAGAGAGCAGCTGGCATACAATAGCTCGCGGAGCGATGAAAAAAACGGTTTCAGAGGATCATACATATAGAGATATATATATTTACAACTTCGTCAGAAAATAGATATTGAGATGATTTTTTTTTTAAATAATTCTAAAGTTTTTAGCTTTCATAATATCAAAAAATCTCAAAATGGAAAAAAAAGAACAACCCCCTTAAGCAATGAGACCGTCACATAACCTAATTCGCTAACAAGCCAGTACAAAATGGCGATCGGATCACGACTAGTGTTAGAACGAAATATAGTACTGAGTACATATGGATACTTTGCGGTCGATAGTGAGTACTGTTGCTATCGACTTGTTACCTCGATCTATTTGCCAAAATCGATGTTTTTCGTCGATAGTACTCAAAAAGAATCGACAGCGTAATCAATCAGCACCACTCATCGACCAACTATGAACACCACTCGTTGCCAAATGCAATGCAATAGTCTCTCTAGGTGGTCATAATTGTTCAAAGTAGAATCAAACTAGCTGTAAGTGGAATTCTGTTCGTGGAATTAAGGTATCGTGCCTTAAGGCAAATTGCTAGAACTTCCCGTACCAAAAATTATGATTTTTTAAAAACAATTAACATTTTTGAAAAAATTTTACTTCGAAAAATTAAGATTTTTGAGAAACTATAAATTGGACAAAAAATTACTTTTTTTGAAAAAAAAAATTAAAAAAAAATTTTTTTTTTAATTTTTTTTTTGAAAAAATTTTTTTTCTTTATTTTGACATATTTTAAAAGATCTAAACTTTTTTTCAAAGCAATCGTACTGCTTTAACTGCATAAAGACGAAATATCAAACCGCGTAAGCGCCGCGTCGACGTCTAACGCGTAAACATTGGTACGGAACCCATAGGAATGTAAACCAAAATTATACTTATTGTTAAAATCTCTATAAAATATCTGATAATTTGATGTGCATATGTCTAATGATCATTTTTGACATAATATCATTTGAAATGATCATTTGAAATGGCATTTTTTTTACTTTTTCATTAGATCTCCGAAACCGCTAGACCTGCCTTTATGAAAATTTGATCGGTTCTTCACCTTGTCAATACAAGTAAAATGTTTTTTGAATTATTAAAATCGGACGCTCCGTTCTCTTAAAAACTGAGTTACCGTTTTCGGCACTTTTTGCCCCGTATCTTCGGAATGGCTAGACCTGACTTCGCCAAAAACTAATCAGCACGTCCCCTTATCAATACGAATCAAATGTTTTTTGAATTATTCAAATCGGTTGATCGGTGTTCCCGAAATCGTCGACGAAAATTTGTATCCGCACATACATACACACACGCACATACATACACACACGCACATACACACACACACATCCATTTTATCTAAGGTATGCCAAAATATTCAGAAACCTTTGAAACGTCGAGAAATGCAAAAATTTTCATTTTCGATTTTTTTGCGATTACTATAATTTGCCCTACGGAAAGTTAAAAACGATCCTTAAGGGTCATCAGTCTCAAAATTTATTGCTCAAAAATCCAAAATGAATATGACCACACTAATAAATAAAGATGTTTATTTATTACTCTTATGTAAAATAAAACGGCTTTTTAAAGTACCAAAATGTTTTATAAAAACATATTCAACAATCGAAGTATGATTATTTCAAATAATAATACTCATCAATTTCAATATGTTAGTATTTTACGTAAAAAAGAATCGAAATATAATTATTTCAAATGATAATACTCATCAGTTTCAATATATTAGTATTTTGCGTAAAAAAAGAATCGAAATATAATTATTTCAAATAATAATACTCGTCAATTTCAATATATTAATATTTTGCGTAAAAAAGAATCGAAATATAATTATTTCAAATGATAATACTCATCAGTTTCAATATATAAGTATTTTGCGTAAAAAAAGAAACGAAATATAATTATTTCAAATGATAATACTCATCAATTTCAATATATTAGTATTTTACGTAAAAAAAGAATCGAAATATAATTATTTCAAATGATAATACTCATCAGTTCCAATATATTAGTATTTTGCGTAAAAAAGAATCGAAATATTTTCTATCGATTTTATTCATCGAGTGGGCTTCAATAAATTATTATTCTTCACATTATGAAATATATTGATAATTCGATATATGAAGTGTTGCTGAAGTGCAGAATATAGAAATAACAAAGCCAAACCCTCGCATTTCTTGAGTGTTAGTCCCAGCCTTGATTACTTATGATAAATTTTATAAATTTATGTTAAACTTTATTTATTTTTTATTAATATAAATGTTGATCAATGGTATTGGATCCAGGTTGATCCACGTTTTTCAAATAATAACCACTGCAAAGCAGCAAAATATTTTTGATGGCAAAACAACGTTTGCCGGGTCAGCTAGTATATATATATACATATATATATATATATATATATATATATATATATATATATATATATATAGTATATGGGTTTGCATATCGTATGTGCGGCGATGAAATACAGACCTGGCTAAAATCTATCCCCGGGCATCAATAGTAGGCCTATACCGCTGTCTAGAACCATATAAATACCATACACAAAACGTTCAGAGTCTTTCACCGCAGTAAGTCTTAGGGCATAAGGGCCTTATCAACAAATACCTAAGTGGTCAACCAATATTGTACCAGAATAAAATTATTCCAACGTAGACACTGTTGGTTCTTCACATTGTTTGTTCGCCAAAAAACAGCTGTTTAATCCGAAAAACTTTATCTCATTCGACTGAATGAAACAGTGATAGAATATGAACAATTTTAATTTTAATATTGTGGTTTAGGTTTTCATATAATTATACTTTCTAGGATTTTCTCTTGTGTATTGAAATGTTTGTGGCGGCTATTGCTCATCACTATAGTTTCTCTTATCTCCCGTTTGTGGATTCGTCATTATCATCATCCGGTGGCTGCTTCAGTGCGTTTCTTGCTATGTGGGATGTGTCCGATGTTCATCGTGATGTATCAGAACATATCGGGGTTCTTGGTGAGTATTAAAGTAAACGATTTTCCAAAATATATATTTAGTTATACATATACACAAACAGAAATGCATTATTAACTTCTTGCAGGGTTAGTTATAGTAATGGGTTATAAATCGAAAATGAATTTTTTTGCATATCTTCACGTTTTAGAGGTTTCTGAACTGAGTGTGTGCATGTATGTATGGATACAATTTTCCGTCGACGTTTTTGGGAGTCGAACAGCAATCGAGTCCTACTCGTGATGATTAGTTCCGAGATACGAAGCAAAGAGTGTAGAAAATGGAAACTCGGTTCGAAAGGCATCATTCAGTACGGGAAGTTCCAGCAAATTGCCTTAAGGAACGATGCCATACACTACTAGTTTTTCCTTTAGATGGATTTATCTATACATTTCAATCTGTAAGTCCTAACGGGTTTTACTAGGTGACCTTAGAAAGATTTTATTGCTTAGTGAGAGAAATTTTTCTGATAGTTTTGTAACTGGTTGACTCAGTTTTGTTGGAGCGCTCGTCAAAAATGGTCATTAGCAAGAAGAAAATACGCGCAATTTAATTAAGGGGTTAACCACTGTAGATTTTACGAAAAACAAAAATAAAATTCTTAGGCTTAAAATATATTTTGAACCTTTCAGAATATGAGGAAAAATATTTCATACCTAAAACTTTCTTTTTTAACTTCCCGTAGGGTAAGTTATAGTAATCGCAAAAAAATCGAAAATGAAATTTTTTATATATATTTACGTTTCAAAGGTTTCTGAACATTTTGGCATACCTTAGAAAAAATGGATATATGTGTGTGTGTGTGTGTGTAAGTGTGTATGTATGTGTGTGTGTGTGTTTGCGGATACTACCGATTTCAATTGTTCAAAAATATTCCATTGCTGTTTATAAGGAGACGTGCTGATTAGTTTTTGGCATAGGCAGGATAGACCCCGTTTCGAAGATACGGGGCAAAATGTGCCGCAAACGGTAACTCAGTTTTCAAGAGAACGGAGTGTCCGATTTTAATAATTCAAAAAATATGTTACTTGTATGATTACTTGTATTGACAAGATGAACAATTGGTTAAATTTTCATGAAGATAGAGGTTTAGCGGTTTCCGAGATTTAGTGATAAAAGTAAAAAAATGCCATTTTGCGGTCAAAAATGATCATTAGACATATGAATATAAAATTATAAGATATTTTATAGAGATTTTAACAATAAGTATAAATTTTGTTTACATTCATATGGGTTCCGTACCAATGTTTATCCGTTAGACGCGGCGCTTACGCGCTTCTAAATTTCGTCTCTACGCAGTTAAAGCAGTACGATTGCTTTGAACAAAACCTTGAACAAGACCTTCCAAAATATTTCAAAAAAAGAAAACATTTTTTTTCAAAAAGTCTTTTTTCCAAAAAAAATATTTTTTTTTCAAAAATTTACAGTTTCTCAAAAATCTAATTTTTTCAAAGTAATTTTTTTTCCAAAATGTTAATTAAAAAAAAAATGGTACCGGAAGTTCTAGCAATTTTCCATAAGGCACGACGCCATGCGCCCCACTAGTTTTCACTTGTAATTACGAGGTTTTTTTCATGCAGGTCGAGCTGCTCCAAACCGACACTGCTGAAATACGTTAACAAAAAAACATTATAAAGCAAAACTACAACATGTATCCCCTAACTACCCGTAGGTTAGTTATAGTAATGGGCCGTAAATCGAAAATAAAAATTTCTTCACGTTTTGAAGGTTTCTGAACATTTTGGCATACCTCAGAAAAAATGGATGTGCATGTGTGTGTATGTATGTATGTATGGATACAATTTTCGTCCACGTTTTCGGGCGCACGGATTAACTGATTTGAATGGTTAAAAAAACATTCGATTCCTATTGATAGGGAGATGTGCTGATTAGTTTTTTGCAGGTCCAGCCATTTCGGAGATACGGAGCACGCACTATATGCCGTTTATATTTACCTAGCGTTTTGGTAAATGTGCACATTCTCCGGTAAAAGTGCACATTTACCGTAACATATATGTTTGTTTGGTTTGATTGATTTTTCGAAGGACCAATGATTTGTAAACACTTTATTATGTATTTATTTTAATATAACTGCAAATTCTATTTGTATTTACATTATTTTAATTTCAAAGTATAATTGTATTGTATTGATTGACTTTAATTCGTGTTATGATTTTTGATTTGATTGCTTTTGTTTTTATATCATAATATCGGATGCTTTGATTTGGCGTGAACAATATATATATATATATATATATATATATATATATATATATATATATATATTTTAGACGCTTTTCTGAAAAAAGAATAGTATCAGAGACGAAGAAAAATATTTCACAATTTCAGTTATACATATAATTAGTAACAATAGATATTTATAATATGAAGGGGTTGGTATCACCGTATTTCTTAGAGTCAAAATTAATATATTGAATTAATATAGTGAATTAATCAAAACGTTGTGGAATTTATGATTGCTTAGTTGACGTATTTGCAATGGTAATAAATTGAACAGTTGAATAGTAGTATTAAGCTTAAAAGTCGATCCTTTGATAGTTTTATTTTTTGTGACATAGTGGGAATTAGACATGGAAGATAAATTAAAGTACTGGGCATTATTTTTTATAAAGAGAAGTGTAATAAGTAGGAATATGTTAGGAACGGTAAGAATGTTATACTTCTGAAAAATATTTCTACAACTTGTCATCGAGTTAATAGAGATGTGGCGATATCAAGCAGGCTGGTTTTTATTTGTAAAAAACAATGGGACATGTCATGTATATTTTTGATATCGAAATATTTTTACAGTTAATAAATTTATATTTTTTTATTATGTTGGGAGTTTCTAATTAAATATATTATCATAATCATTACAACTCCCACATTGGTGACTCACGACGATGGAGATGAAGATAAAGGAGTTTTATTTTTCGAAGATTTAAGAAAAATTGATTTTGACGCAGCACCATAATCACTGGTCTTCAGAGACGACCTATAAGGTACGTCCAGTCCAATCCATCATAGTTAACGCATTTACTATCTGGATCAGACTTCCGAGGTTACTCATTTGGTATACCCAGACCTCAGTTTTTTTTTTGCTGACAGAAAAAATAATTTGGAGCCTGAACTTTTCATTGGAATGCAATTTAACCTCTCTTTCTCTGTTAACTCAACAAATCGTCTTATAATGCTACCTCCCATTATCGGTGACAACGACGAGTCAAAACAAAATTTGATATAATTTATTGGATTTCACAATTCTGGACTCTTATGTCAAAGAAACCAATGATCCTGATTTGGATAAAGAGCCAACTTCTTTCTCTGATCGGAACTCATCAGATACGAATGCAACGCTTGCAGAAATGGAAACTGTACCCATAAATTATGCATTCTAAACATTAAGTAATTCTGATATAACTAATACCAATTAGATGGAGGCTGAATCTTAGAAGTTCACCGACATCGAGGTACAGGAAATTTTCCACATGTTTTTCATTAATCAGAACCTTATGCAGAATATGGAGTTGATGGCAGGTCGAATCACCACATACGGTGGATCTGCTGACGAAACATGGAAATTTGTAATTAACCAGTATTACAACACTGGTCTGCTATAATCTGCTTTCCCACCACATTTTTATAACGTGTTTCCCTGTGTTTTTTTTTAAAACTGTGAGATCAACACTGGGCAGGGAGTGTGTGGCGATATCAAGCAGGCTGGTTTTTATTTGTAAAAAACAATGGGACATGTCATGTATATTTTTGATATCGAAATATTTTTACAGTTAATAAATTTATATTTTTTTATTATGTTGGGAGTTTCTAATTAAATATATTATCATAATCATTACAACTCCCACAGAGAACATGATTCTTAGTGCTCTTTTCTGGAGTTTGAAAACATGTTTTAAGGATGCTGAAAAACCCCAAAATTGAATGCCGTAGACCAAATGCGAGTAGAAGTTGGAGTAATACATAGAAAGAAGACAATTTAAACTAATTCTAGATTTAAGTACTCTTAACATAAAATAAGTTCTGGAAAGTTTAGGTATTAATGACGAATAAATATGATTATCCCAATTTTTTTTTTGCATTTGAATTCCTAGGAATTTAGAAACGGTAGAAAAATTGAAGAAGACATCATTAATAATTAGGGAATTGATCTCGTTATTAATCCTATTGACTGTTCGAAACGACATTATTTTAGTTTAATCAACAAAATACGTAGAAGAAAAATCTAATAACAATTTTCGAATTCTACCTTTACCACTCCTGCAGTAGGTACTTACATTATTTATTATTATTATTATATTTATTTATTTCAGCGTAATGGCCTAGAAATACATCATTATCTTAAGTCACAATAATACCTTAAACTTACTTTATATACAAAAAGTAAACAGAAAAGTCTAATCAGGGGGATCTAATAACTTTAACGTTCTGGACTGGTTGCCCAAGTAACTCTTTTTTCTTTGATTTCTTCATGCGGTTGATTGTTTTCAACCAGCCTAGACCTTCCTTGTCATTCCTGCCACAGAGAACGTCTTCTATAGAAATGCTTGTTCTCTCTAACATCGCGCATCTTTCTTTCCAATGCTCAACCGTGTCCTCCTCCTTTCCACACAGCTCACACCTTCGTTCTTCAGGGTTCAGCCAGTGTTTGTTATTTTTCTCCATAGTGCCACATCTATACCGCGCAATTACTCTCTGATCGCAACCATTGCTCCAGCCTTTTAGATACTGCGGAAGCCCACTTGTCATTATTTCTCTATACTTTCTATTGTATCTGGATCTTTCCAGTTTGTTCCAGTGCTCTTGACTTTGTACCTCGCTTCCTCTCTCCCGCAGTACCTCTCCAACATTCGCTCCGGTTGCACTAAGCTGAACTATGTCCTCCTGGCCAAATCCACATTTGTCTATATCTTATCCTTTCATCCAACCTCTCTTTATCCCCTTTACCTCTTCTTCTTTCGCTAATACACTCCTTCACTATGGCATTT